TTTCATTTAATGCTAAATATAAGTTAAAGAAAAATAGAAACAAGTATATGAGAAAGAATTTGAAAAAGAGTTAAATAGTACGTAAATTATTGAAAAGAAAATTCAATTTTCAACTTTGTGTTATGCAAACTGGAAACTAACTTTTGCATAACCTTAGATGTATACATAGATCTATTAATTTAGGTCAGTCAGAACCAACTCAGGAAAGAAGAATCTTTTGAACAAAACTAAGTGCAATTTCTCACTTGGTAGGTTATTGTACGTCATAAAATATTGAGGAAGATAACCTTACATCTCATAGTAGATGAGATCGAGATGCCCTTTTGAGTTAAACATCTGATCTCTAATGGTTTTCGGACAGCATGTTGACTATGATCTGATTATTGGTTAAAAGATTAGAGCGTGCGTGATTCTTCAAGGATGCTTATGTAACTAATGGCTTTAACGACCTATCTTAAAACTCAGAACGATTTAACTCAGTTAAGACGATTAACTCGGTTCAACCAGTCTAGCCGAAATAATTCCGATTAACCCAATTAGCGAGTCCAGTTCGGTTAACCGATTGGCAATTTTTTGCTCAGCTCAAATTGCTAAACTTTCAGCTAGTTTGAAGAATTGATCCGATAAATAATATATCCAGATATTCGGTGAAGAATATACGAATACACATTCGTTTACCGAATTGAATATCCGAATATGTTAGTATTCACCGATTAAATTCAATGATGAAAGGGCTTAACGTGGATTAGAAGGTAAAATTTAAGCCTGTGAACGTTTACTACTATGCTGCTCTTAATTATATATCAGTTTCAGTATAGTAAGTGTTAAAGCTTTTTCAAAAATACCCACTTAGTGAAAATTGACGTAATTCAGAAGAAAATTTGAACTCGAATAGAATGGACCGGAAGATGCGATGTGCATAGTGTCTGTATTTTTTCGCGTACCATATGTGCACATATATTCTATATTACACAGATAAATGTTCATGAAGAATTTTTTTTTCAAAAAAAAAAAAATGTTAGGGCGAAACTAGTTTCAATTGATTATAATAAAACAAATTTGAAAATTTATAGTTTCTAAACAAAGGTGATACATTTGAATTTAAATTTCTAAATTACGTTAATCTGTAATATTAAAATCCCGATCCGTTGGGAATTGGCGGAAACGAATTTTCCGCCAATTCACATTCGTACGAATCAGGGTATTATTAATTAATCCTGATCTTGATATGAGTGACGCCAAAGAAAAAAGGAACATTCGTTTTTATTAATTATTTATCTGATGATCGACAACACATCGGGCTTTAATCCTTTGTGAAGTTGTCGATCATCAGATAGATAATCAATAAAAACGAATGTTCCCTTTTCCCTTGGCATCACTCATATAGTGATCAAGAATTATCTTTATAACGAATTGGATATTTTAAAAACAAGATTTTCCGAGGGCTAACACTCACCATACTGAACTGATATAAAATTTTAATCTTTCACATATGAGCAAAATACAAAATTTTCATTTAAACATACATTTTCTACATGTTTTAACCAAAATTATAATTTAATTTCTTAATGCTGACCAGAATTAATTGCAATTCGTGCAATTGCCATTCTATCTCTACCTTCACAGCCTGTATAAAGACATTTATTTCACAAAATTGACTATATGCATACATACGATTCCAGTCACTGCAGGGATGGATTAGCCTGGTCTAGTCTATTCCAATCATTAATAAGACTATTTAATGCTTTTTTTACCCGATCTCAGTTACAAGAACGATTACAGAGCCATCTCAAAATTCCGGCCGGAATTCATCGGAGCTAGGCCGGCATTAAGCCACTATGTTTATAGCAAAATTATCAATTGTTTATACTGTTCTGGATCGTCGGTACTGTTCCTGATGGGGTTAAGAGAAGAGAACCTCCAATATTACTATAACGAGTATATGAGTGCTGCCAAAGAGAAAAAGGACTTTCAATTATATTTTGTGTACAGTTAGCTGTCTATAGAAAATTTATTATGATATATTCCATAGACGGCTAACTGTATACAATTTTTCCCTTGGCAGCACTCATTTGATCCTACGAAATAAAAAAAAAAAAATAATAATAAATTTTTTTTAGGAATTAGCGTCAGTAAAATTTTTGGTGATTAGTATCACCAGTTCCAACCAACCGGTATGCATTATAACTAGTTATCATTAATTTCAACCCAGAATTTTGCAGTAATTGAAATAAGCCAAATAAATTTAATTGGCCACTTATAAAGACCAGTCTGGAATGGTCTCAGACCGGAGGCTAAATAACTGTGGAAGCTCGTGGAGGACAGATCCTTATCGTTATTTGGTCTTTTCTAGGATTTCCTAAATGTTTTACGACCAATCACCAACTTCTTGTAATCAACCAATCGCTTATCTCGTTATCTTAACCAATAATTTTTAGCGTAAAATTTTTGTACATCAAAATCTCATCTAGATAAAATTATATTAAATTATATCTTTTTTTTTGACCAAAATGCTATTAAGACTAAGGTATGTAAAAAAAAAACGCGTTTTATGCTGATAGAAAGTTTTGAATATCTTTGAGAATATAATACGTAAAAGTTCGCCTTAAACATATATTAACCTTTTTTTAAAAAAATTTTTTTTTTGAAGAATTCTGACTCATTCGCGAGGCGCTTTGCCGGTCATGAAACATTTACGAACTTTTCATGCTCAAAGTGCTGTAAACGCTTATGAACAGAATACAGATGGTTCTTCAGCTACGACTTCAACTAGGCCATCACTTGATAGAGACTTTACGTTTACTTCATCAAGAAAGTCTTATGAAGGATTATTGATAGGATCTGGTTTAAAGGATAAAAGCCCATCAGATGCAGCACTTGAGGAACTTGAAAAAATGAAAACAGAGGAACGCGTCGTGTTGAACGTGGGTGGAGCGAAGGTTTGTCGAATGCTTATTGTTGTTATTATTTATTAGGAATGTGTAATTTGAATTTACTATTAAGACCTCCTCACGCCACCTGATTTATAATAATATATATATTTAAATATTATCTCTCTTGCTAAAAAATCAATATTTTTCACTTCACTATTTTAAAGTTCGAAACTTATCGTTCGACACTTACTGCTTACCCAGATACTCTATTAGGACAACTTTTTTTAAATGAATCAAAAATTAAGGAAGGAAAAGAATTCTTCTTTGATAGAGATTCAAATATTTTCAAGTATGTCATGCAATTCTATCGCCATGGAAGAATTACTTGGCCAACTAGTTCATTGGAACCAACGATGAGTGATATAAAACGTGAACTTGATTTCTTCAAAATCCAACCCAGCAAAGGTCGTGCGAACTTGCTTGATATGGCTGGTTTCAAAGTTGATAGTTTTGTTGACATGCTTGCTGAAGCTATCCTTGAAGCTCGTATTAATTTCAAAGCAAGGATTGATTTCAAGTTCTATTCATCAGGTCGTTTCCCAGCCGAAGTTGATCCAAAATTACCATCAATTACTCATCTAATACCTCAATTTGATCATGTGGGATATTCTATTTTGAATTTCCGCCGTTCGCAAGTTGCCAAAATCTTGGCAAATAATCAGAATTTAAATACAGGAGGTCTTAAAGTAGAAATAAATCATTTTCAGTCTCCTCAAGTTTATTATAAAATTTCTTTGAACACTTATCATAGTATTACGGTTGATGCTGTTAGAAACTCTACATTAACTTTTCCTAAAAGAGCTGACAGGAATGTGAGGCGCGAAAATGAATCTCAAGAGAGGGATCTAGAAAATGAAAATGACCATCAAGTCGAGGCTCAAGAAGATATAAAAAGTACAGAAAACGCAAGTCAATCATCATAAAATTAGGTATTGACACCTTATTGAAACATTTACTTGATGAAAAAAAATAGATAGTACTGCGTTTTTTAATTTGAACTTATAGGTGGAAAAAATTTCGAATGATTCATGTGATATTTCATTTTAAATTTGCATATATTTCTATCACAAATAAATACCTACCAAATAGTCTATAATATTTTTTCAATTAGTTTTCATATACCTTTTTATTTTCATTCCACTATTTATGTAGATTTATTTTGATATTTTAAAATTTGTTAAAATTATTAAACAACAAATGATACTTGGAACCAAGTCAAATACCAGTTTGAATCATAATTTCTTTTAATAACATTTTTAAGCCAATTTTTTAAGATATCTAAAGGCAATATGTATATACCGTATAAGCGCGTAATAACGCATATGCGCGTTATTTTGAAATTAAAATTTTTTTAAAAATGGCATATTTGACTCAAAATAACGCCCATGCATGTTTCAAAATAACGCGCCCCCATATGTACCAGATTATCTTTCATGTGCTATTTTGAATCTTCGAATAACTTTAAATATGATAAGCTTAGGTTCAATCTCTAAATATAAAACCTATTTATTATCATATTAAATATAATTAACAATATATATATATCTAGAATTTGAAAATTTTGCGAATTATCGCGCATGCGCGTTCCGAAATAACGCGCTCCTGCGCGTTATTACGCGCTTATACGGTATATATATTTGATTTTATATTTTATATGTTTCTATTAACAAATTTATATTATAGGTGGTACTGTTTTATATTTTTGTTTCTTTTTATTGTGTCAAAAAGGATTTTGATATTTAATATCTAAACATCGGGTTCATAAATTTATATTATTGAGATGCAATGAACGAAGTCACAAGGCATCCATTTGTCACGAGATCACGACCCACACCCATGACGTCGAATGGCTGGTGGGTAGGGTAAGTGATTAATAGTTTGAGTTAGTATATTCAATAGTGATTGTCTGGGTAGCGAGTATGAATATAGTGTAAGTATAATGTATTGTGTGATTAGTAGTGATCGAGGAGTTTGATGTATTATGTAGCACCGGTCTGTAAGTATGATGTATTGTTCTGATTGATTAGATGATGCCATTGTTCGATTTGTAAGTATGTTATAGTTTGGTTGAGTATAATTTGGTTGATCGTTTGAGATCAGTATGAGGTCATGATAAATAGCTATTTAAGAGAGAAGAGTTTGGAAGTCGGTTCTTCCTCTTT